TACTACATCATCATCGTCAACGTCATCAATGTGGAACAACTTTTGGTAAAACAACAAAGTTTCAATACCACATTTCTTTATTGGGTTTTCAAAACTAGCTGAAAAATAAAAACATACATGTACTAAAATGTCAAGAATCGTGGCTGTAACTCAAAAGTATGATAGAATACTTAGCCAAAATATTGACTGTAACTCAAGTACTATAGAATACTACTTAGCCAAAATATTGACTGTAACTCATGTATAACAGAATATAACTTACCTAAAATATTGACTGTAACTCAAGTATTATAGAATATTACTTCGCTAAAATATTGACTGTAACTCAAGTATTATAAGATATAACTTAGCTAAAATATTGACTGTAACTCAAGTATTATAAAATATTACTTGGCTATAATATTGACTGTAAATCAAGTATTATAGGATATAACTTAGCCAAAATATTGACTGTTACTCAAGTATTATAGAATATAACTTAGCTAAAATATTGACTGTAACTCAAGTATTATAGAATATAACTTAGCTAAAATATTGACTGTAACTCAAGTACTATAGAATATTACTTGGCTAAAATATTGACTGTAACTCAAGTACTATAGAATATTACTTGGCTAAAATATTGACTGTAACTCATTTATTATAAAATATTACTTTTACGATTTCATCGAATTTGTACAAGATCTTCTGATTTCAACCAAGCCTGTACGATTGTTTTCTCAAAACTGAAAGAGCGTGGGTACTCTGAACGATTTTTACGAAACATAAAAAATTCCACCTTAGCACAGATAGCAGCTAAAAACAGACTTTATGCCGAAGTACCTCCAGGTTTAAGAAGTGCTCCATGTTTGTCCAGTAGATGCAAAACATGTCCCTTTATATCAGAAACTCATTATTTTGTAAGCAACTCTACGAATAAAAGGTACCCGATCCAGGAACATCTAACATGTGAACATTCGAATGTAATATATTTAATTTCATGCAAGAAATGCCCCAAACAATATGTAGGAGAAACTAAGAATAATTTACGAACTCGCTTTAATGCTCATAGGTCAGACATCAAATTAAAGAAAGACAAGCCTGTTTCTAATCATTTCAACCTCGACGACCATTCAATAGACGATCTCACCCTAATCCCAATTGAGCGTATAGAAATTGACTTGCCCGAAGATGAAACTACCAAATTCCGTCAATCTAGGGAGGCCCATTGGATTGAGACATTGAATACAGTAAGACCTATAGGACTAAATATTCATCATAATGTAGGCATAGCACCCTTTGTTGTCCCGTTTAATACAACCAGCAATCGAGCAAGCAAGATAGTTCATGCCCACTATAAGAGCCTTCAAGAGAAATTCCCCCATGTCTATAAGCAGAAAATGATAGTTGCATATTCAAAAAATAAGAACTTAAATGATAATATTGTTCATAGTAAACTAAAAACAATCAGTACATAACAGATACTATACTTCTCGCCCAATATTCAACCTTCAGCGCGGTACTGAATAATAACACCAAGTTTTGTCAAAATCATCATGCCTTTTAGTGTTAAGAGTGAAGAAGTTCCTAAAAACTTCTATGTAAAGCACTGGCCAAGGTCACAAATAAAGAGATAAATGTTCAATACAAGATAAGGTGAAGTTAGCATAGTTAGTATTAAGTTAAAAAAAAAAACAAAAAAAAAACCACTACGAGTAATCTACAATAACCAAAAGTCTATAATATGAAAGTTTTCTTGTTACCAGTTCTAAAAGAAAAGAGTATGAATAGGCTCTGAAAAGATAAACATCTATATATAAGTATTAGAATATATTATACTTAATGAGCTAGAAAATAGAGAGGGGGTAAAGTATTATTGGATTCAATGGGATCGAGTCTACCACGGACCAGAAAATTACTAAGGTTTTTATTGCGCTTATAGGCAATTACAAGTCGTTTGGTATATACATTCGGAAATCTGTTCTGTAATTCACTGTAATACTGTTTGACGATGGGTGAGGTTTTGGCAGCTGTATGATTAAAGGTGGCAACAAATGGAATCATTTGATTATCATGCTGGATGTTAAGTCCATTTGGAGCCACTGTTTGGAGTTGGTCCATCCAGTAGCTTTCTCTCTGTAATCGTTTGGTTTTTGGTTTGATAAGATCAGAGTCAGGAATTGATTCAATAGGCATGATAAGTAGGTCTTCAATGGAATGGTCAGGTAAATTAAAATGGTGAGAAATTGGTCTATTTTTGCTATGAATTATATCAAAGCGATGNGCCGCTAAATCGAGT